TGATAATTTAGAATCCTATTAATAAGGTGTAGGTAATAATTTGTAATAATAGTACTATTAATTGCCAACATCACAATATACATTGTCACCATAGTATGCCATCCGATTGATAAGGGTCAGTAAGGCTGAAATGCATTTTGGATAAGTTAAATAGACTGGGTGTGTAATAAGCATGCTCATTAGTCATAAATAACTAAGTACTTTTTGTAAGTATATTTTTATTTACTAGAATTGATATGATTTTTGCTTTTTTAATGTAAAATTAAATATTTAGTTTCTAAAGTCAAATGTCCATGTGTAAGATTTTTTATATAGTAATTTAAATTAAATTAATGAGATTTGATTAACACATGGAATTAATTGTAGCAATCCCTTTTTATATGCAGCGGAAGTTTTAATTACCACTGCTTTAACAACTATCTTTACTTAACATAGATATGTTTTTCTCAGCAAATAAGGTGTTAATGAACTTGCTATTTTAATTTATTAAAATAAAAATATCAATATTAGTTGTTAACCAAAAATTTGTTATAGTGGATGGTGATTGTTTAGTCGAGTACCTAGGTACCTCTCTATTGATTAATGCAATTTTGATATACACAGTAGCATCAAGGAATTAATTGTGTTAAGCAAGGGATACCTGTATCATGAAACTTTTTCAAAAATTTTTATCTATATCTTTTTATAACACATTTCAGTATCATTCCTTATGTGTTGTCTTCTGACAAATTTTGTAATATATTTTTTATCAGTTATGTAAATATCGTCTAATAATATGGATTTGATATTTTCAAACAAATTTCTATGATGATATCATTATTTATAATAGGGGTTACCAATCTTTTTCATGTTCCCCTTTTAATCACTTGATGTACAACTAATTAAAAAAATGGCTTCAGATAAAAAAAACTCTTTCATTTTTATTTAAAAGAAAACATCTATTTTATTTGGAAAAAGTTTTATTCGATTCTTTTCAATTTGCCAAAATTGGTTCTTAAATGGCACCTTTTCCTCTGGATAGCCAACTTTACAGGGGCCTGAAGATGGCTTCTCTGCATGACTCACTATCATGCTGGAAAGCTGCCATTCATAGGTTAGCTTTAAAAGTAATTTAGAAACGAAAACATGACAAAACATAAATTAAAATAAATTTATTCACATGCAGACATTTTATATGATTAAAGTAATAAGAAGAATGAAAAATAATTATAAAATACAATGTTATAAAATCAAATGTGAATGTACTGTGTATATGTACTGAATATAAAAAACAATAATAAAATACATTTCTAAAAGTTTTAGTATAAAATTTTATTTATCTTATTATATATTATTTAGAAACTTATTATTTTTCATATAACACAAAACTGTAAAAGAGACAATTGACACAGTCTGCAGTACATATACACTGCTGGATGGCCTTGAAATCAGCTGTTTGTCGATGTTTGTGGGATGTTCCAGACAGTTTCTAAGAGCGCACTAGAACCAAAGGAGAACGTGTCTACTGAAGAGCAAGATAATGAGTGAGAATTTTTTGAAGCATTCAAAAGAAGAACAAAAAGGAACAAACATCTGACATTATTTATTGCAGTCATAAATTATAACATTTGAGAACCCCAGTATTGGAAACTTTTGTACTTACAGTACAATACACATTCCCATTTAGCAAATTTTTATTACAAGTTCTTCATCTGAGAATTGATAATTACATGAAAGTGTTTGGAAGTTCTTTCTAAATGCTTTTATGTGTAAATAATTTTACAGAAATATGAAAAACACATCACCATTTATGATTGTTGACTATAACATATATATGTTTACAAAAATTTATAAAATTCAAGATTTGAAAAAATCAAAAAANAATAACATATCACCGTTTATGATTGTTGACTATAACATATATATGTTAACAAAAATGTATAAAATTCAAGATTTGAAAGAATCAAAAAACTTTTGTGTGTAAACATTCGATCAATCTGTTATATGTTACATAGACAGGTCTATTTTCTCAAAAAAAAAAAAAAAAAACTGCAGCTTTCTAAACCAACGCAGAGATACTATAGTTTACAACGCAAGGGGGGGCAGTTGAATTTTGTAAATCTAGGTCAACACACTTTTGTGCATTGATTGTGTATATTTGAGTTTGTTTATGTTATTTATACTATATAATAACAGAGCACAATAATAAGCGATTATTATCTTATTATATGAACGATTATACATGTATTATGGAAGTAACACAATAATCTGGAAGTACTTTGTTTTTAGATAGACTTATGGCTGGATGATTCTGAAAAAGTTTATAAATGTAAAACAGTGTGAATATACATATAAGTTTACTAATTTCAGGTAAAAATAAATGAGAATAATGATTTATGATTGTTGTATATGTTTGTATATGTTTGTAGCTGACAAAGTATCTTCAAGAAGACATGGCTTTTTGCATGAAAATTCCCACCCCACAAACCCAAGTTTCTTGTTGTTCTTCATTTAAGAAATCTTGGAGATTGTTGTCAGATCAGTTTCAGATTCCATTATGAGCTTTTCAATGTCATCTTTATTTACTTCCAATTCCAGATCTCTAACAGTTGTCATAATTTCATCCATTATTTCAGGGACATCATCTCTCTCTTCCTGAATGCAGGAGGGACACAGCTTTTGCCAAGCAGAATTCAACTGTCATTGAGTGACTTCTGACCATACCTTTTGAATAAGCCATATAGCTTCAAGAATATCAAATTTTTCTTTCCAAAACGTTTTTAATTTCATTGTTGAGAAGAACTGGCATACTTCAAAAACATCAATGAAATAGTGCTTGAATGTATAATTTCTTGAAATCTGCAATAACTTCTTGATCCATTGGTTGAATCAACAAAGTGGTATTCGGAAGTAGAAACTGAACTGTCAGTCAGGGAAAGACTTCCAGCAAATTATCTTCAAGGTCTTTTGGATGTCTTGGTGCATTGTCCAATAGCAACAGTGCTTTTAATGGCAATTCATTGGTCTGAAGGTAATCCTTGATGCTTGGAGCACAAACTTCAAACAGCCATTCTTTGAAAAGAGCCTGTATGACCCATGCCCTTTTATTCAATCTCCACATCATTGGCAGTTTTTCTTTAATTATGGAATTGTTTTTAATGCTCTAGAGTTCTCAGAGTGATAGACAAGAAGCGGGATAAGCTTCATATCACCACTAGCATTAGCTCCTAAAAGTAACATCAATTGGTCTTTCATGGGTTTATGCCCAGGAATATTTTTCTCTTCTTTCGTAAAGTAGGTATGGTTTGGCATGTGCTTCCAAAATAAACCAGTTTCATCACAATTGAAAATTTGTTGTGGACAGTATCCTTTTTTTTAAATGAATTCTTCAAATTTGAGACAGAACTTCTCAGCTTCTTCTTTATCTGCACTAGCCAGACTCATTGTGAATTACCACATGTTTAATGCCAGTTATCCTTCTAAACTTTGAAAACCATCCAGTAGTAGCTTTGAATTCTATCTTCTAGTGTGACAAATGTGGAGTTTGTTTCTTCAGTTCTTCAAAAATTTCTCCAGCTTTCTCTTGATTGATAGTCATACTAGTTAATTTCCCTTTCTTTTATCTAAATTAAAAACAATCTCTCCATTTTTTCATGGATGGAACATCTTTGTTTCTCAGATGTGACTTTGGTTACTCCTTTAGCTCTTTGAATCTTCTTGATTATATCTTTCTTAGCTAAGATTGTGCCTACTGTAGACCTGTTCAATACTGCCTAGCAACATCAGACATCTGTCCATTTTCTACTTTGGCTATTATCTCTTGCTTGGTTTCTATGGTGAACACGGTTCTTGATACTCCACTCTTTTTATGTTCCATAATATTATCAATTTCTGTTTTAAATAAAAAGTTCAGAAAAGCACTCACAAAAATTCAGAGAACAGAAATCAACTAGCGCGTGAAAGAATTATGTAAATGTGAGGCCCAAATGCAATTCAAAATTTTGGTGTTAAAAAGTTAACGAATATCTGACAGTTAAACTCTCACTTTTATAAAATAAAAACCAATGTAAAACTTATGGAGTCCCCGACAATCTCGCAAAGACTATAAAAAAATTATTTGTCAGAAAAGTAAACAAAAAGCTGGAATTACAATGGAGAGTTTCAAAGTTTGGGGAAACATTATCCGATCAGTATCGGGTTGAGTGTCGATGTTGACGTCTCCCATGCTCTGAAAGGTTTCGAATTGTTACCTGAAGACAAGGGAAGATCAATCAGTATTCCTTTTTTCCATTGCTTCTTTTTATGTTTGTTCAGTGAAGTGTTCGTTATCTGAACATGTGTTAATTGTCCGATCATAAAAATCTTTCGCGAAAGTGTTCGTTAACCGATCACACACTGTATATATATATATATAGTTCTTTAATACATTCTTTTGGAAAGTTTTGAAAATGATAGTGAAAATATTTTCAATAACTTTTAAATGATTGTATTTAATAAATAATTAAACAATATTAAAATATTATACCAGACATGGGCAAATGCGGCTCTTTTTGAGTTACATGTGGCTCTTGCTGAAAGTGTTAATTTCTATTTTTTATTATTATTTTTACAATTTTATTTTCACAATTTTGTGAAAATATGTTTATTAAAAAAATTCAATATTTTTTTAATATTATATTTATATTATATAATAAAATCACGGTACAAAACTGCGGTACAGAATAAAAAAGTACAGAACTGCGGCTCCCATGCATTTTGCAAAACCTACATTTTGGCTCCCACGTTACCTCTTGCTTGCCCACCCCTGAATTATACAGTGTGTGCATGTACATTATATATGTAATTTGCTCATTGATCCATTTCCAAACTTTCATCAACCCCTAGGAGCTGATACTGACCCCAATTGGAAACCGAGTTATAATAACTGCTCTGAATCAAAATTTAAACATTGACAGTATCTATGATGTAAGAAAATTAGATTTTAAACATATAATGATATTTAAATTTATTATATTTTCCAGAATTTTACTGTTTAATAAAGAAAGAAATTAATGTAATGTATACTCAGAGGTCTCTCTCTTCCATGTATCTGTTTAAAATACAACAATGGGAGATCAGCTTTCTGGAGTTGCAGTTATCATATGTATTGCTTTTGGAATTATGGTATGTGATTAACAGTTTATATATGATATATTTAATAATATATTTCTATCGTTTATTTTGATTAATAACAGAAAATATTTAACAATAATAATAAAGTCTTTCAATATGTAAGCCAGAATATAAGTACAGTGATGCCTCATAATTCAAATTTAATTCATTCCAAGAGACCATTTAAACTCCAAATCTTTCAAAGTCAGAATAAATTTTTTCTATTAGAAATAATGGAAAGTGAATTAATGCATTCCCAGACTAAACAATGTCTATTTTGATAAACTTAAAACAGCAAAGTCAAATAATTTAAGGTAAAAATAACAGTTAAATGCCCTAATAAAATTAAAACATGAAAATGATAAATAGAATATGTAAATAATGTATAATAAAAGGAAAATTTCATTTACTTGTTGCATATTGTCGACTTCAGCATTTTAAACATGGCCACACATGTACTACCACTTTCATGCTTCATGATAATTTCCTTTTTCATCTGAATCATTGATATTACAGCCTTTCTCTTACTTGTTAGCCTTTTCCATATGGGGGTAGTGGTTAGCTGGATGCAAAGATGACTCACACAGAGACCGTATTTACCAATTCAATACGTTTATTTGACAAAGACATGCTTACAGATAAAGTTAAAGTCTGTCTAGATGAGTGTTTCTTTCCAACGAAAGAGTTTGTCTCCAAGGATAAGTTGATTCAGAAACAGAAGGACATTTGTCTCCAATCTAAGGTGTTTCTGGAGGCTGGGAGAGTAGAGATCCAAGCCTGGAAGTTAGGTCTCTGTTCGCACCGATTTGGGTAGAGAAGTGTGCTTGGAAAGTTAAGTTCCTCACTCTTGCAGCACTCGTTTACGTTTTGAGTCTTCTCCTTCGTAATCCTGGTTAGAATCTTAAGAACAGACTAACTTGTTCCTGATCTTCCACTCACAACCTCCCCGTGTCCTTTGGATTTCAGGCTTTTATAACCCTTTTCTTCCCGAAATCCTGACGTTTTGGTTGGTCTGAATGATGGTCCCCTGTAACTCTATTGGTCTTTTGGTCTGTTGCCAGGAGTGCAATTCATGCCGCGGAGTCGCTGAACATCCCCGTCTGGGCCGTTCTCCTCCGGAGTTGGGTCATGCTCTTTCCCGGATGACGGACCTATAAATTTTACCTAATGTGTATTTTTCTGTCCTGGACGCAGCAGGTCCCGCTTTGAACTGTCTGTAAGGTGACCGTCCAAAGTTACCCTGGCGGTCAATCCCTCTCTCGTTCTCACGATTGACGATTGCGGATCTGTCAATTAGATTTGGAATGCGACAATTAAATTATCTCGCACCCCATTCCTTGGTCACACCGGTCCCATTTATGTAATAAGTCACTGATTTATTGACTTCAGCTCGACAGCAGGTTCCCAGCCTCACATCTAGAAGTTTAAAGAAAAAATTTACTCTGGTGACCTTGTGATAAAATAAATTTTTAAATTAATAAGTTAATAAATTATAACAGTTATAAATAAAATTGTTTTATTGTGTAATTTAAAAGGCCTTACATTCAATAAGTAGATTTAATCAAAAAATAGAGCATATTGTGCACATTAATGCATTTAAATCTGTAACAATCTTACATACTTTTTAGGTTATCTAAGTTTTTGATTATCTGACTTACCTTAGTTCACATTACCTTAGATAATTAGATCTTTATTGTATATCCAATATTGATATATTATTTAATTCATATATTAATTCAGTTTTTTCACATTATTAATTTTTCTAATAGTTTGTTTTTTAAATGTAATTTCTTGGATGTTTCATTTGTTAGAACATTTGTAAATCACAATATGAATATTTACTATTATTCAACAAAGAAAAAGTATTGAATAGAAAAAAATATCACAAGATTTTGATAACAATAGGAAATAGTAACTTCTATATTCAAATTATTCTCTGAGTTGATTTTGCATATAGAGAATAATTATAATTAGATAATTAACTTATTTAATTATAATTAAAAAACAAATAACATTCAAAGTGTTTAGAATGTTTGTTTACTAACAATTTTAGCAACATAGTAAATAATCATATTGTGATTTACAAATGTTGTAACAAACGAAGCATCCAAGAAATTACATTAAAAAATATTAGTACAGTAGTTGAATATGAAATATAAAATAATGTTTGCAATTCTTACTATTTCATAATCATTTAACAATTAAAATTGAAAATTCAATTTAANTTCTTCAGAAATAAAAAGTAAAGTCAAATAGTTGTCCTCTACATGTTTACTTAATTTTCTTTGAAAAATTGTTGCCTCAAAGTTTGTAATACAGTTCCTTAATGTTTTATTTATTTCAAATATTTTTGGAATATTATCAAATCAAGGAAAATTTTTCACTTTTTACATAAAAATATTTTTATAATTTATAGAAGTGTTTATTTTTAAAAACGATTCAAAGTATTCTTTTCATAAAAATAATATTAAAATTATTTCATGATTATTCAATAATCTATAAAATTAACACATAAACTTGAATTTTATACTTGATATATACTTAAATATATATTTGAATTTGAATTGATCAAATAGATTAATTGAATGTTAGTTTGTACAAAATCCAACCAAAATTTTATTATAACTTTTTGACATTTACTTTAATTAAAAATTATGTGAAATATAGTTTATACTTGTTTCATGCATATGTAGTTTTCTTCAGAAATAAAAAGTAAAGTCAAATAGTTGTCCTCTACATGTTTACTTAATTTTCTTTGAAAAATTGTTGCCTCAAAGTTTGTAATACAGTTCCTTAATGTTTTATTTATTTCAAATATTTTTGGAATATTATCAAATCAAGGAAAATTTTTCACTTTTTACATAAAAATATTTTTATAATTTATAGAAGTGTTTATTTTTAAAAACGATTCAAAGTATTCTTTTCATAAAAATAATATTAAAATTATTTCATGATTATTCAATAATCTATAAAATTAACACATAAACTTGAATTTTATACTTGATATATACTTAAATATATATTTGAATTTGAATTGATCAAATAGATTAATTGAATGTTAGTTTGTACAAAATCCAACCAAAATTTTATTATAACTTTTTGACATTTACTTTAATTAAAAATTATGTGAAATATAGTTTATACTTGTTTCATGCATATGTAGTTTTCTTCAGAAATAAAAAGTAAAGTCAAATAGTTGTCCTCTACATGTTTACTTAATTTTCTTTGAAAAATTGTTGCCTCAAAGTTTGTAATACAGTTCCTTAATGTTTTATTTATTTCAAATATTTTTGGAATATTATCAAATCAAGGAAAATTTTTCACTTTTTACATAAAAATATTTTTATAATTTATAGAAGTGTTTATTTTTAAAAACGATTCAAAGTATTCTTTTCATAAAAATAATATTAAAATTATTTCATGATTATTCAATAATCTATAAAATTAACACATAAACTTGAATTTTATACTTGATATATACTTAAATATATATTTGAATTTGAATTGATCAAATAGATTAATTGAATGTTAGTTTGTACAAAATCCAACCAAAATTTTATTATAACTTTTTGACATTTACTTTAATTAAAAATTATGTGAAATATAGTTTATACTTGTTTCATGCATATGTAGTTTTCTTCAGAAATAAAAAGTAAAGTCAAATAGTTGTCCTCTACATGTTTACTTAATTTTCTTTGAAAAATTGTTGCCTCAAAGTTTGTAATACAGTTCCTTAATGTTTTATTTATTTCAAATATTTTTGGAATATTATCAAATCAAGGAAAATTTTTCACTTTTTACATAAAAATATTTTTATAATTTATAGAAGAATTATTAAAAGTGTTTATTTTTAATAATGATTTAAAGTATTCTTTTCATAAAAATAATAATAAAATTATTTCATGATTATTCAATAATCTATAAAATTAACACACAAAATATTTTTGAGCTCCAGCAAACTAATATATTTCTTAAACTAATATTTTCAACTGTGTTTAACAGCCATTGTCACATTTATTTGAATGATTCAAACATCATACTCAAAATGGAACAAATATTTAAATTTGCATTATTATAAAAAAAAAAAACAACTAGTGACATATGACATTTATGTTACATTACAATGGAATTTATAAAGTGCTAAAGAATAAAACAATTAAAATAACCCTATTGAAGGAGTTTTCAGAACTAGAATATCTGGATGTGGAAACAATGGTATCCTATGATTGAGATACTTCATAGTAGGCTTTCCAGGCATTGAAGAGTGTTTCCAAATCCTTACAGTTGATTGCTTTGGACTCTAATGAAATCTTATAAATTTCTAATTTTTCTAGATGTTTCAGTTTGGTCTCGCTCTGGCATTAAGATTTTGGTATTCCTTAGCATGGCATTGATGATGATTTAAGTGGAAGAAGTGGCTAAAACTATGATAAGGGCTATCAAAATCATAACACCAGAGTGGGATCTTATCAAATTAAAATAACTAGAAAAATTAGAAATTTACAAAATTTCAGTAGAGTTCAAAGCTTTAAGGACTTGGAAACACTCTTCAATGCCTGGAAAGCCTACTTTGAAGTGTCTCAATCATAGGATACCATTGTTTCCACATCCAGATATTCTACATCTGGGAACTCCTTCAATAGGGTTATTTTAATTGTTTTATTCTTTGTTACATTACAAATGGAATTTATAAGGTGCTAATGTGTCATACATCACTAGTCATTATATTTATATATATATATATATATTTATGTAAATTTCAATATTATATTCCATTTTGAGTTTGATGCTCAAATCAATTGAATAAACCTGATGATGGCCACTGAACATAGTTGAGAACATTATTTTTAGAAATAAATTCATTTATTTGGAGCTTAAAGGTGTTTTGTTTGTTAATTATATCAACCAAGTTACTGGAAATTTTAATCTAAAAATTTTTTTAAAGATATAAATGAAGATATTGCAAAATTATTAAGATTAAGTAGAACAAGAAGAAACTGTCTTCTAATTGTACATTAATTTGATATTTACCAATAATATAGAACAGTTAGAACAGATTTTATTATTCAGTTCTATATACTGTATAAGCATTTGGAATCTTGTAAGATAATAGATTGTAAATCAATTACTTTGATTTACAATCGTATTGTAATCTGATGTACACAGCTTTCTAAAATATTTATTAAAATTGACTATAGAACATTTTTTTGTTTTATTTTTATTTTTCTTATTTTTTGCTTGAACTATGTTTGTTATAGAGTATGTTCATAATTTATTCAATTAAAATAATTAATAAAAAATAATAATTTTATGAATTTTTACTGAACAATGTAATTAAATTCACTTTTCCAGACTTTTATTTTGTTGTTCATTTTTGCAAAGAGGCAAATAACTCGATTTACATTAAAATCAAGATATGGACCTCATGTTCCAATTGGGTATGATGCACCTAAAGTGAGTTTTTTTACTTCTTATTTATAATGTAATATAACAAAACAAAGCAAATTTATTTTACATCAAAATTGGTTTGGTTTATAAATTTTGTGTAATACAGGCTAAAAATTTAATTATAATTTATATATTGATATTGATTATATATATATAATCAATATATATCAATATATTGTATATATATAGAATATAACCTGAATAGTAGCAAACACTGTTGGCTGTAAAATTTATCCACTATTTAGAGGTGTCTGCTATTTGGAGTTATGCCAGCAGCCATATTGTATTTTAATCTGGTTATTATAAAGCAAACAATATGATAGATTACGAAAACATCAAATTTATGTTAGGAATGTGAAAATACCAAAAAGTATACATAAAATATATAATTAAAATATATTATATATTTAATATATTTTATATATATTTAACATACATATAAAATAATATACCTAAAATATACATAAGTTATGTTTTATATTACAGTAGACCCCCTTTTAACACTTAGATACGTTCCACATTAATCGAATTTTACGTTGTAGGAATCATTAAATACATGAGCCAATCGCAGCCCGACACGTGTGAAGTTTACGGACTAAGGCTGTTTGAAAGGTTTTCTTCTATAAAATTAACCGATTCTAGACTAATTCCACTCAACATTTCCAAAACACATATAATTTTTTGAGAATAATCCGCATAAACTATGCTATAAACAAAAAATTGTAGGATTACTTACCGAGTGTGCACCGTTCGACTACGCCGTTGCTCAAGCTTGTTTTCGTCGCGGAACAGCGCACGAAACGGCGGCCGCGATTTCTGATAACGAATTTTTCGCAGAAAAATAACTTGACCTTTGGAGACATCATTAATATAAATAATTTTTATGGCCGTTGAATAAGAAATGTTTCTTTCACAAGAAATGTATAAAATTAGTGCTGTATTAGACTTACGGTACCTAATTTACATACTGTACAGACGATAATAAACTCAACTTACTAGCCTAAAATCTCCGTAGCGTGTTGCCAGGCGGCAGAAAGCATATATATAATTATAATAAAGTTACAATAAATTAAGTTAATATATAATTATATATACAGTACCTAATTTATATATAATTAGTATATAATTATATGTACAGTACCTAATTTATATATAATACTGTACAGACGATAGCAAACTCAATTTAGCCACCTAAACTCTCTGTAGCGTGACGCAGGGCAGAGGAAAGTAGTTCGGCTGCTCATCCACTATTGGTCCAGATTCTATCAATCTTGTCGCGACACGAGTCGGCGAAGACGTTTTAGGAGTTCCTTTATATGAATATTGCTACAATTTTTTTGCTACGTTATAGGAATTTCCGTTATAGGAACCCACATTATAGGGGGGTCGACTGTATTTATCTTTTCAACAGTAAATATCACTTTTAATTGAATTCTAAATAGCAGATTGTATAGGATATTTTAAATGGAACATAAAAATTATGACAAAATGTAAACATTGATTAATTATTAATTCACAAATAACACCCTGAGCAGAAGTAATGAAAAAGAAAAATGAAACTGTTATTATGAACAGAAGAGTTTAGGCAACAAGAGTTTGCATGTTGAGTTTTGAAGGCGATTTGCTAGACACTTCAAGGTGTGAGTAATGTATTTTGGTATTCTTGCATTCATAACATCATTTATGATCTAAATGACTAATAAAAATTGATATAGTGATTTGTCTGCTTTGCAGTTATCAAGTAGGTGTAATTTTTTGAACATTTTTGCTTTTTTCCAATAAGTGATTTTAGCCACCAGAAAGCTGTTAATATAAATTACATCATAAATTTGACAAAACAATATCTTCCTACATTTTAAAGTGGTCGACAAATTACCTTCATAACACAGTCTTTGAACTTTTACCAAATAATTGCTGTTGTCTTAACCTTAAAACTGTTTCCTTTTCATTACTACTGTACTATGGTTCTTGTCGAATGAATGAATAACTTCAGAAAAGTTTGTGGTTTCTTAGTACCGTAAACTTAATTCCAACAATCAGACAAGTTTAATAACATTAATATGTATGCCAATAAATGGTGGTTAACTTTTTGCAGTGTTGTTGCACTGACCCCTGATACAAAATAATTTAAAGATGTTTGTAGAACCAACAAATATGTATTTTACGTCATATGCAAAATGTCTCAACAAGTACCGTTGTACTATATATCTGGCGCGGACATATGGCGGTAGCATGGCGGAGACATGGCGCCGACCTTATCTGCTAAAATTAATAGAAGTGGTGGTGACAGGGCAAAAATACATCTGTGCCCAACGATTATAAAATATTATCTGATTCTGACTAAGATATTTTAGCTCATATTCATTTAAATAATAATCAAGAAAAAAGTTTTAGGCTTATAGTTGTAAAAGAGAAAATAATATGACAAATATTTGAATTATTCAATTTTTTGTCTCTGTCAATGCATGTCACCCAAAATGAGCTCGTGTGTCACCTCTGACACGTGTGTTATAGGTTCGCCTTCATGGATCTAGACCAGGGGTGGCCAACCTTTTGCATACCATGCGCCAATTTTTTGATAGACGAGTTCAGATGCGCAGTGGTGTACCGTGGGTGTTAGCCGCCCGGGGCGGAGAAAAATTTCGGCCACCCTTTAATCAGGTATTTCAATTTAAAAGATCAAAATTCAGTTGTGTGAAAAAAAAATTAATAAAAAATGCGGTGGTGGTGTAGTTACCCGTACAAAATAGTCCCATTTGACATTAGTGGCATACACGATTGCGAATGTATCGTGAATCGTAGAAGAAAAAAAAAAAAAAAAAAAAGGTCAACAGGTGTAGCAGTCCAACCGACTCGTGGACTGTCCGGACGGTAGCACTGTCATTTAGACGCCTATGCACTGATCGAAAATAAACATACATGCATACACTGTAATTTACTATGTGGAGAACACTCATTTTATCTGTAAAGTTGATTGCAACGAATTGTGCAACAAATGAACTTGCCAAGACAGACTATAAAAAATTAATTTTCTATGTAATATTCTTAATTGCAAAGAAGCCAAATCTGGCAATGTTGCTCAGAACTGACTAAAGCGCCACTTGTAATCGTCCAATGCGCCAAGTTTGGCGCATGCGCCACGGTTTGGCCACCCCTGATCTAGACCATAATTCAGAAAAATTTTATTGCAGAGATGTTTTTTGCTTGCCACAGTTTAGACAGTGTTTAGAAGCCAGTAATTTCACCTACTTTCTAGATTTACTTGACAGCCCGTTTAGACGGCATTTTAATTCAAGTGGAAGTTTTGTTTGTGGAAAAGCTTAGATAAAAATGGATATTGTTCCTTTGATAAAGGTTGTAAATGGTATGAATCAACAAAATTATTCATTAATTAATTGATTGGATTGAAAATAATATAATTAAATACTTTAAATTTGTTTTAAATGTTCCAATTCCAATATATTCAAACAGGTGAAGACTTAAAACTACAGTTAATTTAAATCAGATTTATTTAGTTACAATTCAAGTAACATGTCGGTTATAAAACGTTAATGCATTTTGGGGTCATTATTGTTAATCCCCTGATCAGAACATTCTGTTAAACAAATGAGACAATTTTAACAATTAGCAAAATCTTTTTATATAAATAAAAAAATGTAATAATAAAATATTTAAAATTATTCTTCTCGACAATTATGAAAGAGAGAGTAATACGATGTCAGAATAATTCCTTAAAAATCTATTCCTAAGACGAGTTTCGAATTTGGTATAAATTTTCTAACTCTGGATTTGTTCAAATTTGAAATCATATTGGCGATGAAATTAAACATCAAAATGAAAAAGGATTGTCATTAACATTTCCAAGAAACTCAAAATTACTAATAACAGTTTCAAATATTCATTTATAAATTACAGAATTAAAAAGTATGTACATAAATTTTATATTTACACTAAAAACCTGTACTTGTTTCACAGGTTAGTTTATTGTACTAGTCATGAGTGTGACTGTTTTGCCAACCTCATTTGCAATAAATAACTAGCAACTGAGTATACAATTACATTAGTCTCTCTTTATCACATATCAATACATCAACAAGGGTTAACACAAACTTTTCATGTGTGTTGCTCTGCAAAGTGTTGGATTACTAGACGTGGGACGGATGAGTGACAGACTATAGAAACTATAGTCGACTTCCCCTATAACACAGTAGATACGTTCCGGTTTTTATGAATCCATTTTCTATGAGTCCTTGCCAATCACAGCTCGGCATGTATGTGCTTTACGGACTACAGCTGTTTGAAAGGTTTCTTCCATAAAATTAATCAATTCTAGACTAATTTGACTCAACATTTCCAAAATACGTATAATTTTTTGGGAATAATCCATATAAACTATGCTACAAACAAAAAATTGTAGGATTACTTACCGAGTGTGTACCGTTCGATGACGCCATTGCTTAGCTTGTTTTCATCATGGAGAAGTGCATCGAACGGTGGGCACGTGCTTTCTGATCAGCAAATTTTTCGCAGAAAAATAACTTGACTTTCGAGACATCATTAATAGAAATAATTTTTATGGCCATTGAATAAGAAATGTTTTTTTCACAAGAAATGTATAAAATTACAGTACTGTATTAGACTTACAGTATTTAATTTAGGCCTATATACTATACAGAAGATAGTAAGCTCAACTTGCCTGCCTAAACTCTCCGTAGCGTGTAAGTAGTTCAGCTGCCCGTCCACTATTGGTCCAGATTCAACCAATCCTGTTGTGACACAATTAGGCAATGATGTTTTACTGAATTATAGAAGTTTTTTTAGCATGTTTGTACAAATACTGTCGCAATTTTTTTGCCGTGATATAGGAATCTGAACTATAGGAACCCGTGTTATAGGGGGGGTCGACTGTACTGAATTTGACATCATCTTCCAAAAGATTTGGTAAAATTGTAAAATGTTCATCATTTTTTTTACTGATTTTGATTTATAATTCAAATATATTGTGAGTATTATCTTGTACGGTAGCATTTATTTTATTGTTCAATGTCTTTTCATTAAGATAAAGAATATAAAGAATAATGATTAAAATAAAATATTATAGTTTTTTAGTTATCAAGTTATTTTAAAATAATTAATATATTAAAAGACAGCATTAAATACAAAATAAATGCATTATTAACTTACTTATTTTTGTTTTTTTTCATTATAAGGTTTTAAGGCAAGAAATAGACAGACAATTAGAAATTGTGAAACATATCCAGTGTAAGCCAAAATTATATAATGATGATTTCAAATACATTGAAAATAATAAGTGTAAGTAAAATCATATACTTTTGAAACTTTCAAAATTTTTTATTCAATAAATAATAAAATATGTATATCTTTTTGAATGAATGAATAAATAATTTTTATATTGTAAGTTAATTCAAAACATTACAGAAAGAAACATTTTTGGATGCATTATTGATTTAATAAGTAATTAGTATAAACATCTATTTATCTTCTGCATTATTATACTAAATATGTATAAGTTGTTATTAAATCGCTTGTGGGCTGCAATAGTGGCACAACTCAAAAAATACAACTTTTGAGTTAATGCACTCTCCAGAATTGCAGATTGGTCTTCCTTCCAGCAGCAAAAGCGGCATATCTTATAGTACAGTATTCCACCAAAAGATAGCAGAAGTGTCACTGTTGCATTCTCTGATTTGTTATTTACACTGGCTGCAATAACAACACTTCTCAAGTCCAAATTGTCCACCTACAACTTCACAATTTGTGACTTGAAAAAAGATGGGCTGGATGATGTCTACTGCTACCTATGGCATGAAGGCAATGGAAAGAAAGGTGCTACTGACATTGGAACATGCTTGTTAAAATTTTTAGAAGAAAAAGCTGCTACATGCAAAACAAATGAATTAGAAATAACACTGTATTCAGAAAATTGCTGCAGATAACAAAAAAAATAAATACATTGTTGTCTGTTACTTGTATGCCATGTCAAGATTTCAAATTAAAAGGATAACACAAATTTTTCATTGTGAGACACGCACAAAACAAAGGTGATTGTGTTCACTCTGTAATAGAAAAAACTATTCGACAGTCACTGAAATCAGGTCCAATCTACATTCCATTGCAATATGCAACGCTAATTAGGATGCAAGAAAAAAAAAGGCAAACCTTTCCAACTGTTTGAAATGGGATACGATGACTTTGTTGATGTAAAGGACCTCACAGATAGGACATCTCATAATTTTGTTGTGAACACTGACAATGATAAAGCCCTCTTCAACATTTCTGTACTGAAGGTAGAAAACCAATCATTGGATTGCTTTTTCTACAAAACTTCTTTTAAAGAAACAGAGTTTAAAATTGTAAATATCAAAACCTCAAGATCCAGGAGTTTGCAGTTGTTTCAGGAAGTAACACTGAAAAAAGCATACAGCAAACCTCTTCCAATATCTAAGAAGAAATTTGATGATTTGCAAAGTTTGATTGCCAGCAATGCAGTACCAAGATGTTATTCAACATAATTGAAGTTTAGACTATATACAAAAATATCAAATTTTCGAGTCTATCTTAATCCTTTTTATACAACCCCAGTTTTTAACATGGTTTTTTTGAAGAATATACTTCTTAAAACAAAGGTAAACAATAAGTAAAAAAAAGGTTCACAATGTTAAAAATGAACATGTGTCAGCCTTCTGTTATAGGTTCTGACACTTTTACATTAAAAACACAAAGAATTCTTCTCACCACATTGTTCTTATCCATTTTTTTAACTGCTTCAGGCCCGACCAGGAAAGATCCGGAAATAACTTTCGGAAGATTCTGTTTCTGCGCACGTGCAGTCCGGACGGAGGAAGTCGTCGGAAGCGGCATTTTCATTCTCTTCCAACGGAAAAGAAAGAGACAATTCCCTATCGGAAACGCACGCTCTCCCTCTTCCCCTACCAGAAGAGACTGGGAAAGATCCGGAAACAACTTTCGGAAGAGTCTGTTTCCTCGCACACGCAGTCCGGACGGAGGAAGTCGCCGGAAGCGGCATTTTCGTTCTCTTCTGACAGAAAAAAAAGAGAGAATTCCCTATCAGAACCGTTAGGGTATTTTTTTACTAAAAACAAGGCATAAGGCATTCAATAACCTCCTTGAAGAAAAAGATTTACTACAGAAAAAGCTCGACGGTTCCCAGAGGACTTTAAGATGAGCTTCCCCTCGCGAACGAAAAACACAGAATAAAAAACCACACACATCTCCATTTCAGAACGCTTTTACTTCACAGCCGAATGCTCCTCCTCCTCGCCACTCCCTCGCTGTGTGCGCAAACAAAAAAAAAAAAAAAATCAGAAACAGCTGAGAAAAAGCAGAAAAATAAAAAAAACTCACTGCCACCGGTAGAAGGACATCCTGTGCTGGAGAAGGACGCTGACTTGCTGGGCAATGCCAAGCAACCTGCAGTCCGTCGCCTGATGGCTGATCCCTGACGAAGCGTTTGCTGCGAACGGGTCATTCTCCTTGTCATAGCTGCGAAAACACCAAAACTAAACAACCAAAATCAGCGTTTGAAAATCCCACCGCGTTCCAGTCACTCACTAATGGGCATTTCCAGCCCAATAGGCAACAAGCAACCAAGCCCATCCGTGGCAATCCCAACTCTCTACAAAATGCACTACTCTCTATGGCTCTGTCGTCTAACACAAACTTTTCATGTGTGTTGCTTTGCAGAGGGTTGGATTACTAGATGTGGGGCGGGGGAAGGTGATGTCAAATTCAGTAGTTTCTAAACTACTGAATTTGACATCACCTTCCAAAAGATTTGGTAAAATTGTAAAATACGAAAAATTGATATTTTTGTAAATAGTCTAAACTTCAATTATGAAGAAATATATCCTGAGTAATTACAGAAATTGTATCCATATGCAAATGAAATAGGATAACTCGTAATTACCACCAGAGGGCCTGAAGCAGTCAAAAAAAATGGATAAGAACAATGTGGTGAGAAGAATTCTTTATGTTTTTAATGTAAAAGTGTCAGAACCTATAACAGAAGGCTGACACTTGATTGTTTTTAACATTGTGAACCTTTTTTTTTACTTATTGTTTACCTTTGTTTTAAGAAGTATATTCTTCAAAAAAACCACGTTAACTGTTACTTTTGGGGTTGTATAAAAAAAATTAAGATAAAGTTGAAAATTTGATATTTTTGTAAATAGTCTAAACTTCAATTATGAAGAAATATATCCTGAGTAATTACAGAAATTGTATGTTATTCAACATTTTACAAAGACCTAACATTTGAATCCTAAGAATAGGCTTCACTTTGAAACTTTCATAAAGTTATGGATTTCCGTGGTACTGTTTCTTGTTTACATTGTGTTGATTAATAATGTAGTATTGGAACATTCATGTATTAATAATTTGTTTACATCATTAATAGTTTTTGCCTGTACACTCGTTTCCTAAGCCACCAACCTCCAGGATAGTCTAACATAATTTATTAGAAACATTCAGCAATAGTGGCACATCTCAAAACATCGGTCCTGGAAACAACAATGAGGGTGAGGGGATAAATTTTTCTGTAAGGGTTAAATTGATATTATTATTAATTTAACCCTTACGGAGCCATTTAGTACTGTATAACACTTATTCCATCAATGAATCATGTGAATGATGCATTTCAATACAAGGTGAAACTTCAAACTCATTTATCTCAAAACTTGATTTTTGGAGTCGTGCCACTATTGCAGCCCATGAGTGAAATGTGTTATTTAACAAGGGTGAAGCTAATGATCATAGTTAATCTGCTGAATTAATCAATGCACTTTTAATATTGGGTGATGAAGTTGAAAGAATGCTAACATTTTTGACTTGGTTAATTGGTCATTTTCAGTCATGGACAGATGAAAGTGAAATGTCAGTATTTGTTTGAAATGAAGATGGGATTGACAGTCAAACAACAATATTCAGAAATGGTAGCATTTCTTCAACTTCACCCACTGTTAAAGATACATTGATTAAGTCAATGTGTTATTTAATTATTACACAAAATGTATTATATATATATATCACTCAATAACAAAGATATAACAAGAAAAATGAATTTTAATACATGCACATAATACTATAATTAAAAACAACCTTTAAGTTCCAGCAATACAATTTAAATTGCAAACAATTCAATTGTTTTAAACAACCGTCTTCAAGAAAAAATCTGAAAGAGCAAAATAATCAGACAAATGACTGTAATTCCATTTAAAATTCTGAAGCTACCGCATGATTGGTTACAGTTTTAAACATCATTTAGATGTAATTTACATCAAAAATATATCTGTTGACAAAAAGTTTTTACATGTGATACAGTTGCATAAAACATAAAACTTAGTCCTGACGTAGGAGAATATATTCTGAAGATTTCATTAGAGTTTGTAGCATATTCTCTATGCATATAAGATGGGATTAGTATCCTTATAATTAACCATTTTAGTCTTTAAAGATGCCTTATATATCTCAAGTTACTTCATTTTAGGAGGTCATATTCATGTACTTATTTTACTGTTATTGCCCTTGGAAATCTACCTCCATGCCATACTCCTTTGTGTAAGCAGATAAAGCTGTTACCAGATTGTGCTTTTCTATAGTATGCTAGTGGTCTTTTACTCTTGTCTTGAAAGCACACAATAGCTCTATTGTACTCTAGTACAGTGTGAAAGCAGTGATCCTTTACTGGAATGCAGTACACACTCAGAACATACAGAGGATCAATTGGCATTTTGTCATTTCTAGCAGTTTAAAGACTGTTGGACTTCAATAGCAAATTTACTGTTGTGTTGCCTTAGCTATCTGGTAATGTATAGTTCTAAGACATTGCTGTATATGACCACTTTGAATTTACTGTCCATGGTGGCTTATTTATCAGTCATATGCTTTAAAATATTCTTTCATCAAGTGTTCCATATCTGTAGTGAGTGGCTAACTTGCTGATATGATCTTCCCTTCTGTCAATTGTCACTTCAGTGCATTATTGTTCTTCTAACAAGGAGAGAGTTAGACATTCAGGTATCTGATTCAAATGAAACTTAGTGAGCATGGAGCCCTAAACAGAAACAGCTCTGAGACTAGTGGTTCACAAATTGAATAAAATAACAGTAATAATTTTTAAGGAACTGAAAAGAAATTAACAAAGATAAATCTCTATGAAGATATGCGAATATTGTCGTATTTTTGTGGAGTGACCAGCATGCTGGCTTATCCTGGGGAATGCCAGTTTAAGTGAAGCTATATATCCCCCTCTAGAGGGGGCATGAAAAAACAAATCAGTTACAAGACATAAAAATGAACGAGTTTTTATTCCAAAACCGTGAAACTGTCAGAATTACATCAAAAACTGCAATTATATATTTAATTTCTTCATTTTGTTTTCTTTCTAACGATGCAAAATACTTGTGGAATTCCAAAAGTGCTTTTTTAATGTGTATTTTATTGTTATTTGATTCAAAAATACAAAAATAAACATGCTAAATTTAAAATTTTGTGTGCAGTAAGCTAGAACTTCTGTATTTAAGTGTGAAAACACCTCTTTTTTTTTTCTAGCAAATTCTTAATTAAATCAAAAGAACTAACATTTTCAGCTATCTTAGTCGTCTTCAGGTGCCTGAAGAAGGCCATTTAAGATTTTATTAAGGTCATGATGATGATATTTTATGTAGTCAAAAGAAGGTTTTTTTTAAACATTTAATTAAGAACTAGTTTTGTTAATTAATCTGATTAATTTTATATTTTAGTTGCAGTTTAACTGGCAAGCTGGTTTTCCCCGTTTGTATGCAGCATGCCAGTAAAATAAGGAATCTGTGCAGACCATGATTACACAATACACCGTCATTAAGGAATAATAATAACAATTAGATTATATATGAAATTACTAATATTTAATAAAATTTAATAGAAACCATATATTGAATGAAAACTTTTCACAATATATGAAATCATTTCTTTCATGATACAGGTATTACATATAAATAACTTTGAGAAGTAGTAGTAGTAGTAGTAGTAGTTTTCCCAATTTGCAATTAGTTTTATAATCAATACAGATATTTTAAAGACTGCTTATTTATACAAGTCTAAATGAACTGTTATTTAATTTAATTTAATATTTTTTTTGGACTATTATAGAAAAAATGCAAATTAATTTTAATATGTGTGTGTATATTTATGAAATATATAACTTATTACAAGGAATATTGATGATAATTTGATATCTATAGTAATGATTATTGACAAATACAATAATGTAATAATAAAGTACAGTAAAAATTTTTTCCATTGACACACTATTTTTATTTAGATATATATATAAATATGGATTTAAGTAAAACTACAATATAATTTTTTCATTTTTTTAGATCCTTTCTTCCCTGTTATAACAACTAATAGGAAAATTCAGACATCTCTGGTTGTTATGTAATAATTATTACCTCCTTAGATTTATACTTTTTGTGGATTGTTAAATATAAATTTAATTATAAAGTTATTTTGAAATTTTTAAATTGAATTAATAAATTTTTAAAAGAATAAATAAAAAGAAGGCATTTTTAACAGTAGTATATATGCATTTTAATAATCTTAATATTTTCAAATGTTTCAACTTTTAAATACTACATTTGCTTCATTATTAACAAATGATGTAAAGTTTAATATATGCTTTCTATAATTTTTTATGTTGATGAATTCAGTTTGAATTATAATAAAACTTATAAACCACCTATGAACATGACACTTTTTTAAATTCAAATATAGGTCAATAAAGTTCTTAGCTCTATTTTTCAGTATGTATTTTTTTAATTTTTATGACTACCTTCATTTTGTCATATTTATGATGTATTTTCTGATTTTATTTATTTATTTTTCTCTTGAACAAATTATATATGCAGGCTCCAAGAGCAGTTGATTTGTGTAACACTGGAATGGTCATTTAACAAGAAATATTTGTTTAGTGCATTTTTTTTGTTTACTATGCAGATTCTTCTTATCTATAAAGTCTCTCTTTCTTGGCTGAATGAACATAAATCTCTCTTTTGGATGATGATATTTATTTTGTCAGTAATGTTTTTGTTTCTGTTTACAGATTATCTAAATCTTTTGTTCATTCTATAATTTCAAAGAATTTGACTTTACAATAAATACATATGTTTTTGTTATAATGGTGTGCTTACAGTTCAGTTGTAATTTTGGTATAAGGTGTGTCCCAAATAATTATCAATGTATGTTGTTTTTAATAATCTTTATTAAACAAATAAAATGCTACAAAGTTGCATCTTCTATATATATATATTTTTTTTAAATTAGAAGAAAGAAACTTTACACTGTCCTAAAAAAATTATCAACTGTTTAAGAATATTTTCTACGAAAATATATGCACATCAGTTTGCATTTTCATATTTATATTGTTCCTGTGTAAGTATATGAAAATATTTGATACATTTGAAGCATTGGAAAGTTTTTTCTAAGTATGGTTTTATATATGATTTAAGTGATTATGAAAATTATAAAATTGATGCCTAGACAGTTGAAAGCATTTCCCAAAGTGAAATAGCTTGAAGATTCAATAGAGCTAAGTCAACAATCAGGAAAATCAAATTGTTGATGAAAAACAAAAATGACTGCTCAACAACAAAGGCATATATTTCAATTGGCAACAAAAAAGAAAAAAAAATGTTTTATAAGGCAAGTAACATTTACAAGGTTGTGTTTCAAAATCAACTGTTGATTGCACTTTGTTGAAATCTGGAAAAGCTAAAATTCAAAAGAGTGAAGAGAAGACTTTATCTTAAATCACACCACAAAGAGCTAGCCTCTTTGTGTTGTTCACCTGGGCCAAAAATTATATAACATGGGTTAAGGAATGGACCAAAGTTATTTTTAGTGGAAAAAAAAGTTTAATTTAGACAAACTGGATGGTTTTAAATTTTACTGGTAGAAGCTACAGAAGGAAGAATACTACTACAGCAAAAGGATGCAAGGTGGAGGATCATTAATGGTTTGGGAAGGCTTTGGATTAAACAGTAAAATGCCTTTAGCACAAATAAATAATAGGATGAACTCTCGACTATCAAAATGTGCTGCAAATTAATTTGTTACTCTATGCCACCAAAATTTGTGGTAGGAATTACATCTATCAACAGGATAATGCCTCAGTTTATGTGTTTGTGTCATTGAAGGAGAGGTTTGTCAGGAAAAATATTTAGCTCTTGGATTGGCCTGCATTAAGTCCCAACATAAACACGATGGAAAATTTGTGGGGATCATTGTGAGACAGATATATGTAAAATTGTCAACAATTTTACATACCTGAAGGCTACAATTCATAATGATTGGAACATAATTCCTAAAATAATTCTTGAAAATTTAATTAAATGATGAAAGGTTTGATATTTAAACTAATTAATTTAAATGGCAAGTTCATTGGTTACTAATTCTCACCTTTTATATGCAATTCACTTGAGTTGATAATTTTTTGGGACAGGCTGAAGTTTCTTTCTGACAATTTAAAACAAAATATATGGAAGTACAATTTTGTTAGCATTTAATTTGTGTAATAAACATGATTAAAAACAACATTGTTTTTTATCTAGATAAGATAACTGAAGATAGTACTTTTTAAGTTTTAAAACATATGTCGATAATTATTTGGGACATACCTTATGGTTTAGTTTATGCAAATACTTTTTTGTAATTTGCTATTCTATTTTCTTTATGCTCAATACATTGTAATTACAGAAATCTACACATGTTAAATTTCTACTACTCCAGTTTCATTATTGATCTATTTTAGAGTTGAAAATATTCTTTTGAATTTCTTGTTTCATATATTATGTTTTGATTGCTTTGACTTTATCAAATTCAATTTCCATACATGTATTTTTTCAAAATGTTAATTAAAAACATTGAGAATATCTAATTAATGTTGATGCACATAGTTTAAAACTATATGCATTAATGAAGATCCATGAATGATGATAATTTATTTAATATGCTTTAAAAAAGCAGTGATATTAACAAAGATTTTATAATACAAATTATGAAAATCTAAATCAAAGGAAGCAGATTTGAGGTTCTTCAACTCAAGAATGAACTCTTGAATTGAGAAATCTAAACAGAAAATTATCAAATTTTGACTTGCAGAGTATACTAAATTTTGAATAGTTTTTTTAAAAGAATAGACAGTTAAACTTTTAAACATGCCATTAAAAATTTAATAGTACAACATAGTGATTTTATTCATTTGTATTTGTTAATTCTTTCTGTATTTGTTTGTATTCAGTACCAATAAATATAATTTTTAAAATATTGAGAATATGACTATTGATTAAAGTTGTATCATTAAATATTTTATATATGTTTGGAAAAATAAAGTTAAATTTACAGTAGAACTTTGTTTAATAAGTTAAAAACTTTTTGACAAGACTGTCTTGCCTCCAAAATCACACTGCTGTCAATGGCTGACACACCTTAGAGGTATGAAGGAGTACATGTCAGGAGTTGCAATTTGACAGAGTATTTGGTACCCAAATCATGTGCACATGAAATAAACCAGACTTGTAGGTAGTCAGGACTGAGAACTGGATCAAAATAAAATACAAAATGCTGAGACTTTCTACAGACAGGTGCGAGTGCGAGATTTGTACATGTGTTGCCGTTGCTCGTGCTTTTTGAGACATAGTCTTGTCCCAAGAATGGCTTTGCCATTTTACTTGTATATTTTTAATACAAATGTAATTTTTAAGTATTTATAATATATTATGATAAATCTATTTATTTTCACTTCTAAAAACCATTAAAGTTTTTATACTTTGATGATGATTAATAAATTATGGAAAAAATTAAACTTATATCATCTCTACTAAATACCAATTATAAGTAAAACTTTGAGTAGTTTAAATAACTATTACAAATTCTTTTAACTATATCATGAATTTAATAATCTAAAAAAATGTTAAAAATTTTTGTGTTTAGAATTTTTTCATAAGTTATTAAATGTTCTCATGATATAGACGAAAAATAAATGAAGACCTTTTTTTATTCTTTATTTTATGAGTGGCATTTGTAAAATTTTGGTATAAACAATAATACTTACTATGGTCCATTTACACATTTTAAAATTAATTACAAATGTTAGTTTTAATTCAATAAGCTGTGTTACTGATATATATATTTTTTTCAAGAAAATTTGCTTTCTTACCAAGTGTTCACTATAAGATTCTTGAATTATTGTGTTAATAATAATAATAATTTTTTTTTTAGCTCTAAATTATGTACATCGGATGAAAGTTGTGGATATTTTGGCATCATTAGGTAAGTATTAATGTTCTGTTCTGCTTGAGACAATTTTAAAATAAAATTCAGATTCATTTTTTATCACAGAAAATCAACTAATATACAGCATAAAAATATAAATTAAGAACTTTTTTAATAGAAAATAAATTACTTTCAAGTGATCCTTGTAAGAGGTTGCCAAATCAAGATATAAGGCATCATTTACTCTTCTTATCACAATCAGGGTTATTAATTGGATGTGATACACAGTTAATTCATAAATTTGTTGATATTTATGAGCATGCACGGCATCAACCAGAGGTATATATAATTTTAAATTTATTTAAAAATTATATAATGTATTAATTAAAAATAATAAAGATTATAGTATTTTAACAAAATTTGATTGATATGCAGTTATTATTTAAGATAGCATACTCATTTTTAAAAGATATATTAAATATTATTGTACAGAATAATATATAAATAAGAAAGAAAAAGCTTTTAAAAACCATATTATAATAAGGAAATAATCTTTTGATACACTTATGATCAAAGCTAAAATTACAAAATTTTTTAAAGCTGAATTTGGTTTAAAGCAACTGAATTTGGCTATTGGAAATTTTGCTTAGTGGGCAACTCTTTTATCAGGTCCGACTGGTTTCTATTAAGCAGACTCAACTGTAATGCTATCTTAACATGACAGTCACATGATAGCTTGCAGTAAGTCATGCCATATGATGATTGATTAAATGATAAAAGGTTAATTATTAAGAGTGAAAGTTGACACTTTATACCTTTATACATGATAATTATCTGGGATCACATGTTAATTCTATTTCATGTAACAGTTATGCAATAGTTTGCAGTAAATGTCAAATGAAAGCTGATTTATCAATAATATGCCAAAATGTTAAAAATGGGCCATTGTTTTATAATTTTTTACAATTGTTTTTACCATTGTTTTACAATTGTTTTATAAATACTCAATGTTTTTAAATAAAACTTTTGAAAGGGCAAATAAGAGGCAGTCAGGTCTAAAACAAGCTATTAAGTATATACAGACTCATAGATTGTTCAGAAGCTTGATGTCACTATTTTCTCTCTTTGTAAATCTAGGTGAAAAAATGTTGATTGCATAAGTCCAAAACAATTCAACAAATTCATTCAAAATTTATGTCCATACTACTCATCATGAACACTGTTTTAAATTTCATCCAAATTGATTCATTGGTCATCAAGATTTTAAGCGTTAAAGTTGGCACTCTAACATTAACACATGTGGCAGAGCTTTGCTCTAGAGCATTTCTGCATTCTATGATAAATTATTTTATTTTGTTTTACTGTCCAAAATTAATAAGTTATCTGTATGATAGGGGAAAAAATCTTTTGTATATAATAAAAAGGGACAACTTTATTTTGAAGGATGGAAAGCACTATCAGAAGACTTGGATGTGATGAATATTTTCTTTTTAAAGCAAATGAAAGCATGTTATAATAATAATTTAGTCATTTGAATTAAAAAGACATGGTATACTTCACAATATAAAAATATAGAAGAAACTAAAACATATTCAAACTTCCATCATGTCCACTCACCAGGAACAAACTTTGTAGAGACAACCTTTTACATAATTATGCAATTATGAATTAGATGTTTTAGTTTCCTCTATATTTTTATATTATAATTTAGTAATGTTTTTTGAATTCTTATCCAAAAGTAGTTTTTCCAACTTTTTGGTTTGTTTAGTTGTATACAGCTACACGATGTGAGCAATCTGCCGAGGAGGGAATGCCTCCTGGGAGGATTTTCTATGGGAAACTGGCTATTACTTAGGTGTTAAAAACATAAAGAAAACCCAGTAAACTCCATGTAGTCAAATGAGTTAAGTGAGACAGGAACCCACAACCAACTAACAGTGTTTAGTGGTTTTATCCACTCGTCCACTGATAGGCTCTCGACTTCTCAAAAATTTGTATTTATTTGTTTTACCTTCCTGTTATATATATATATATATATGTTACTGTGAAAGACCGATATCAGGTAAATGTCAATATTCTCCAGTGAATATCAGCATTCACATAAGTTGCTTGGTGTATGTACGAAATATTTGCTAAATATTATTATTTCTCACTTACACCGACAAATGTCGACATTCAGCATGCACTGATGGTGAATGTTGAATAAAAATATTTTTATTATGTTAAGACAAAAATGCAACTTTTTAATATGTCAAAACAGGAGAAAGCTTAAGTAACAGCACATGTAAACAAACTGTTGAATCTAAAACGAAATCTAAATCAGAAAAGAAAATAATATCAATAATAAACTTACACACAAATTATGTGATTAACGTTATACAATCTTATTTATTGCAACAACTTAAACTGTTGTGACATTTTGAATTGCACAAGATTCCCTTGCTTTTACAACTGCATTTATTTGTGGAACACTTCTATTTGAAATTACAGCGTGTATAGCCATGCCCTCCACTTCTCAAATTAGTTGCAGCTGCTTCTCTCAGCGACATTTCTTGAAAAAAAATTTCATCTAAGGAAAGTAACTTTTCTTTACAAATTACAAACTGATTACAGGTATAAAGCTGCTTGATGGTACCATTTTTGTTTGCTAATTTATAAAAGTCGGAATCTTCTATTCCAACAACAACCACTAACACATTTCAGGCATCTGTATGACCACGGTCAACATCAGGGACTTGTATTTGTACTGTACATATCACCAATTTGAGCAGGGGAAAATTTTTATTTTGAGGTTTGTAACATTTTCATTGCTTGCAGTAGAAGATTCTCTTTCATGGTTGCTCTTTTTATAGAAATAAACTTGTGTTGTTCAGTCAGAGCTTGATATGAAGACGTGGTAGGTTGCAGATCTTCAATATTTTCCTTTGGAATATGGTTTTCAGTATGGACACTCTCAAATTCTCTTCAAAAGTATTAACAATTTCTTTTAGCTGCTGTTCAGTTTCAATATTTGCGAATTGCTTGGCAAGCAAAGATGATGATGCTATCCCTCTTTTTGGTTTAACGCCAGACAGGACTTCATAAGGACTTTAATGTATTCCTTCATTGTATGTTGTGTTCTTTGCAAATTGAACAAAAAGCAAACCATCTGATCATTTATTTGTATTGTTATCTTTCATTCATGCAGTTTAACATATTCTGTATATTCTGATTGCCCTTTCAACTGAGCCTTGTGTTTGACTATGATGAGGTTTTCCATGAACTATCTTAACATCTTAAAAATAAATTGCTAGGACGAATTCACAAGAAGAAAAAATATATTTCCTTTAGGACTATACATATAAATTGAGTCCGTCTTCATTTGTCCTTTCACACGCTTGGCAGAGGCAATAACCAATTTACGGCGATACCGACCTTTTATTTGAGGCTACATGTTCGCCGTCCAATGTAAATGATGTCTCATTTACATTGGATGGCGAACATGTAGCCTCAAACTAAAGGACAAATGAAGACGGACTCAATTTATATGTATAGTCCTAAAGGAAATATATTTTATCTTAACATCTTTTTACATAGCACATAGTTCGGATATGATTCGATTACTGAATTTCCTATCTGAATGCAATAAAGCTGAGCGCCAAATGTTAAAAATATTTGAAGGGGATACGACTTCTTAAGCTGTCTTAGTTATTAAAGGTCATAACTGGATAAACTTCATTAAATGATCTTGATATACCATTATGAACTTGTAATTGTTATCCCTGTGTAACTACAGATCTATTAGATCGACTTGACAGCTTGAGTTTAACTCCAAACTGACCATTGGTTTCACAACAATACTTTTTTAGGTGCACTATGTTTCATTTGACATTGTTTACATAAATTTAAATACAACATTACAACTTTATATGTAATATTTTTGTATTTAACTTGCAATTCTTTAAGCATACATGTTCTTTCTCTATGGCCTATTCTGATGTGAGTTTTGGATAGTATACTGAACAATTCATTATTGGTAACATAATAATGTATATTCATTTCTCCTGGTTTTAATGATACAATTAACTTCTCTTCATCATTAATTTTTTAAATGTCAAAATGTTTTAATTGTCTGTAATCCAAGGTGTACTGCACTTAATTTTAGCAAAAATCACTTCAGAGTAATTTTCTTGAGAAAAATAAAAAGAATTGTCTTCTTGTTTACTCACAATTAATTCACATAATTTTTCAATAAAAGATCACGGTTCACTGCAGTAGTCATTCAATATAAATTAGGGTATCAGATAAAAAAATAAAAATTAAGCAAACATTGCTGTTTGTCAGTCTTATACAAGGTTTGCTGGTGCATGCAGTGTTTGAGAGTATAACAAATGTGACCTCAATTGTGGCAGAAGGTTTGGCAAGAGAGAAGAAAGGATTTGGTGTTTTTGTTGCATCTCTCTGGCCATGTCTTTTTGGCTTGTCGTTTTGACCTCCACCAGAGCTTATCTGTGCTTGTCGACATATACTGGCGGTGGTTTGGATGTATAATAATATAACCAAATATTTGGTCTTTCACTGATGTATTTGGTATTGTCAACATTCACCAGAGAATATTCACTTTCTCTGATTTCGGTCTTTTACAGTAACATATATAACAAACATATACAGTCGACCCCCCCATAGCATGGTAGATACGTTCCGCTTTATAAGAATTTCATGTTGTAGGAATCCTCAAATACATGAGCCAATCACAGCCAGGCACGTGTGCAGTTTATGGACTATGCCTGTTTGAAAGGTTTTCTTCCATAAAATTAATCGATTCTAGACTAATTTCTCTCAACATTTCCAAAATACGTATAATTTTTTGGGAATAATCCATATAAACTATGCTACAAACAAAAAATTGTATGATTACTTACTGAGTGTGTACCGTTCGACGACGCCATTGCTTAAGTTTGTTTTCATCATGGAGCAGCGCATCGAACAGTGGGCACGTGTTTTCTGATAAGTTATTTTTCTGCGAAAAATTTGCTGAACTTTGGAGACATCATTAATAGAAATAATTTTTATGGCCATTGAATAAGAAATGTTTTTTTCACAAGAAATGTATTAAATTACAGTACTAATTTAGGCCTGTATACTGTACAGAAGATAGTAAACTCAACTTACCCGCCTAAACTCTCCATAGTGTGCAAGTAGTTTGGCTACTCGTCCATTATTGGTCCAGATTCGACCAATCCTGTCATGACACGAGTTGGCGAGGACGTTTTACCGCATTGTACGAGTCTCTTTTAGCGTCTTTATACGAATATGGTTGCAATTTTTTCGCCACGATATACGAATCCGCATTATATGAACCTGCGTTATAGGGGGTCTACTGTATAACACATTTCCACTATTTTCCCATCTTTTTTCTTTTTTAAATTCAATGTTTTTAGACCTCTCTGAACCCAAAAACATCAAAAAAAGAAAAGGAAAAAATTTCATGTAAGTATTAAGAAATGAAATTTGGCATGGGAACTCGTATAGAAAAGGCATTGATGCTACTAAATTTTAGTAGTTAGTGGCAGGGAGATAGAAATGTCATATGTCATATCTTAAGTGGAGTTGGGCTTAATTAAAATTTTACTGTTAACAGCATTTACAATTTCTTAAAACACTCATCTCTACCCTCAAATTAAGCCTTTTGTCTTTTTATAATAATTAATAAATCTCATAGACTTGTGTGGTGCCAACTGCTAACTAATTACTGTCTGAAATAAATAAATAATATGTATCTAGTAGATTTAGATTTTGTCCTAGGAAATTTTTCTACAAAACCTGGGGTGAAGTCTGTAACAACATAACTTTGGCAAATGGATTCCAACAAAAGAGCATATTGCAAACTTTCCTGGTGAAGTTGGGAAAATTATAGATTTTTTTTCTCATTTTCTTCATTCATTACCTCAAGACAATATTGTAATAAATTATCTTCCCAATCTGATTGATGAAATAAATAATCTGTTGCAACTAACTATACTAGTATCATAAGAAGAAATGTGAATCTTTTTGCAATTTTTACAACCTAGATGGATAGGATTGACTCTGAGATCTTTGACAACAAAATATACAAGCTCATCAGTTTAATGGACTTATACTGTAAGTGTTCACACACTTCGACAACAATAAAGTGACAATCATCTAGGGACTGTCAGATTAGAGAGCAGATATTACTCCATGAAACATACAGGTAATAAAGGAATGTTGCATTATTGAGTTAAATAGTACATTCAGTCCATGTATGTTCCAAGAAGTTGTATCAGAATAGAGAGGATGTAGGATTATTGAAAGTTGGATTAGAGGTTCAATTGCATATTCTAATAGTTAAAATATCTATTTTTTTTTAAGTCTGATGCATAATGTGTTATATATATATAATCTTTACAGTAGAGTCCTGCTAGTCTGAACATGTTTCAGTTGGAGGAGAGGAAATTTTTTAGCTTGCAAAATATATATTTTTTATATTTTCCAGTTGAATTTAAATGATATTAATGGTACAAAAAGATTTAGAATGCCACAACAAAAAAATTGTATTTTATTATAGTACAGGTAGCTTTTGGTTTACACCAGCTCAATTTATGCTGATTCACAATAACGCTGCTGTACAGTTTGCCATTTCGCGGTGTAATTCCCCAATTTTCCCTATGCCAGACTGATTTTCGTTTCAGTGCTGATGTATTTACTAAGCTACAATATTGTACATTCATTAAAATAAAGATTTTTTATTGAATATATTTATTTTTTCTGTTGAATATTATTGGGTATGTATACATTTGCATTAAATTAATATTAAAATACTAAATTTAAGTTCCCACAAGTCAAGTTATTAAACTTAATAGTTGAATAAATGTCGTCCGAATCCAGAGCGCTAATGAATGTGAATAGTTTGTATCCCGTATCAGTTCGTTCAGGAAAACACCTTATGATGCAGTAGCACTTCCAGCGATCACAAATTATCATAGTGAGACAAAATCTACTTCTCGTTGGCTAGACAATATCTACTTCTTGTCAGACGATATCTAAATCTCTTTAGCAAGACGAAACCAACTTCAATTTTTTTGCCCAAACTGACCTTAAATATATGTGCTATGGTGGCCGGCGGTCGACCAATCAGCGTCTCCGCTTGTCTGTAGCTCTATTTTGGATTAGCACATCCTTTCAACTATGGAAAGTTTGATGGATGAACTTTGCGAGTGAAGTGCAAATGTAAAAAAGGAGCATTATCACATCCATTCGACCAAATTCTGAAATTATTAATGAAAGAAAACAAAAATCTAAACAATTACAATTGGATACTTTTTTCCGAAAAATGTAAGCGATCCAAAACTTTGAAATATAATTTGTTTTTCTTAATATTTTTTAATAGAAACGTTTCATTTTATTTTATTGTAAAATACATTTAAAAAAATTAAATTTATAATATATATATTTTGTATTATATTGTATTAATAAACAAAATTATTTGCTTATTTTTCACTTATGTAGAACCTAACCCTATACCTTTGTAAATATGGGTTTGTTTTATGCCGATTCGATTTGTGCTGGCTTTTGTAGGAATGGAACTGTGGCATAAACCGAGGGCTACCTGTACCGTATTAATACTGTACAAAATTAATAAATCAGTGTTTGACATGGCCTATTAAAACAGCAGATCTATACTGTACTTACACACAAAAACAGAAACAAAAGTCATTGGTGTTGGATCTGTATAAACTGGACCTGTTTTACTGCTTGATTCTGCATTATTTCAATTATTTGGCTAATCCAAAAATCTGCTAATCTGAACAGGGCTCGGTCCCAATTAGTTCGGACTAGTGGGACTCTATTGTATATATGTATATTACATTTCCATAAAATAATCTACAAGTACATATGAAATTTATTACATACAGAATGATATAATAAAATTTTATTTGTATTTATTTATTATAGGAATTCAACTTTGAACATTATATTTTATTTATTGAGTTAATGGAACAGATCTATAAGTGGTAAGTACTTGACTTCTAATATAAGAAACCTCAAAAACTAATTGAAAATTTCTGAAATTAAAAACATTTAACAAAATTATCAAAGAAAAAGTAATGATTTATTTAAAAATTTTATGTGATTTACTCTAAACTTTCAAAGAATTATTAGTTTTTAAAGGATTCAAATACATCTGAAATACAGACATGTAGTTTAAATTTTAGTGAAATTAATATATACCTGAAATTCAACTTCTCAAATATAAATAAATCTGACGAAGGAAGCTTCATGAAAAAAATTGACTGGTCAGAGACATTACATATATATTTTGGTTTTTAAGAATTAATTTTCTTTAATTTAGTTTTCAGAGACATTTTTTTAGTCAAAGTTGATATAAAGAATTTATTTTATTTGAAATATCTTTTGTATCCTTTCTCAGAAAGTTTTCAGCCTGAAGAATTTCACTGTTGCTGAATGACCTGCATATTTGTTTGATGATGATTTTTGTGTCTTCACATGTCATGTGGGTGCTTCTGATAGACAGTATCTTTAATTGAACATAGATATCCTGCAACCTAAAATATATTTACATTCTCATAACACTATTAACATGAAAGATTTTTTATTACTATATACCTGTGATCAAAAAGTATTGGGAATGGTTCAATAAAATGCAAGATTTCAATTTATTCATCAAAATTTATTTTATCTCCTTCAAAATAATCCCCTCTCATTGCAATGCACTTATGCAAACATTTTTTTTAATTCTCAAAACATGCTTTAAAGTCATTTTTGTGAAACCATTTTATAGCATCAATTAACTCAAAACAGTGACCATGAAGTGAAAATTTTAGTTAAGGAAACAGGAAAAATTTACACTGTGGCATATCGAGTAAATACGGAACTTGTGGAACCATATTTGTTGAATTTTTGGCCAAAATTTGACCAAAAAATAAGAAGCGCATCGTGAGCAAGTACATTATTCATGAGTTTTCTCACCACAAATAATGTTGTTTTCTATAAATTGCTTCATACAAATGATACAAAATGCTCAAATAATATATGATTAACACATTGGTGTTGTAACGCTACAACATCAATGTGTTAATCATATATTACTGTATGTTGGTGTGAAGTGTAATTTTATTTATGCTTAAATAATAATCTTTGTTGACAATTTGGCCAGTCAGAAGGAATTTATGATGCATAACACCATGAAAATTGAAGAAAACAGTTAACACAACCTTGATTTTTCACTGACTTTGATGTGGTCTTTTCAGTATCACTTCACCTTTCAAGCACCTTTCACTTGATTGTTGGGCTGGTTCAGAGTCAAAAACGTAGATCTATATTTTATCACCCATACTGATGCATTTTAAGAAAGCACGCACCTTGAGAAAATCCAAGATCCAAATGATACTGGAACATGTTCAATAATGTCCCTAATTGTTAAATAACGATCATCGAACACCAAATCTATATACAAATTCAGTTAGCCATATTTAACTACATCTTGTTGTGTATTCATGTTCTGTAATTGATTCTTCTTATTGGCTTTGACTATAAAGTCAATATTTCACATGCTGTTTGCAATGAAATATGACTACTTATTTGAAAACCAAATAGTGTATAGTAACAGGATATTAACTTACTTTTTTGAGATTTACCAGAAAAATATTTTGTTCATCAAATTTAAGTTTAATTGATAGCACCTCATTGATGCTTTTAACTGTACATATCAAAGAATTTAATCATAAGAACCAAAAGTCATAAAGGATACTAAAATAGAATTTTCTAAACTGCATATCAGATCAAATCAAGCAGATAAGAGAAACTTAATTGCTAAAACTTAAAAGGTATGCATAGTAACTCATAAAATTAAAAAAATGCTCTATATTTTTAAAATAGCACATTTCTAAGTACCTATTTAAATAATTAAATACTGATCAATTATCAAAATAAATATAATCATTTAATCCCTGTTTAATATCTGTGTAGAAGTTGCACAAGAAGTTGTCCTAACAATTTGCATTACAGTAGAACCTCGAAAACTCAGCCTAATGTGGACCGAAGGGTGGCCGAGTTTGTGAAAATGCCGGGTTATCGGGAATGGGGTTAAAAAAAAATAAGTACGAGTGTTTCCTCAGAAAATACTGTACTGTACTTGTATGTATTGTTTACTTGAGAATATAACAGAGAATAAACTGCCCAAATACCCTTAAACAAAGGAAAAGTACATACTTTATGAAGGCATAGAGCCTTTACTACATGAAAATGAAAATTAATGAATACACTGTGTACAGTAATTTACCTGATAAGACACATCAGAAAAATACTTTGAGAGGTTTTATACTTTTATAAAGCTGTCTATAATGAAAATTAATTAACTAAGGATTTTTTTGCCCTGCCAGGGTGTGACCGAGTTATCCGGAGTGCCGGGTTATCGAGAGCCGAGTTTTCGAGGTTCTACTGTATTCAATTTCTCCATATATTTTTGATTTTCTGTTGTATTAGCTGCAATTTCTAAATATGATAAAATAAACTCATCATTATTAAATTAATACACGTCAAATTTCTTTTCCTATCATTTGAAAATTTTGACCAAAAAATAAATTAAACATATTTATATTCAATTTCTGTAGTTTTTTAATGTTGAAAGATATCATATGATAAAATGTTTATCAATCCATCACTATAGTGTTTCAAATTTTCTTATTTTAAATGCAATAGATTCATTAGCATCAACCCATGAGAACATCTGTAAGAGTTGACTTAAATTTATGCAGGTTTGTTCTCAAACTTATAATGATATATCAATATTTTGCAGATATGATGGTAAAAGATGAATAATTATCTGAAAACAGATTCATTCATTCATGTTCATTCTGCAATTTCTATCTTTCTATATGTATTTGACAGACAGAAATTTTTTTAAATTTGAAGAATTGGCATTTTTTCTTATGTATGGTATTGTCAATCTATTAGTCTAATTTATGAATGTAAATAAATGCATATTCAATTTTCTTGAGTTTGAATAAATCAAAGAAAACAGTCAACAGCATGAAGAGAATATTTTAAAATAGGAATTGCTGTATCATCATACAGTTACAATAGTTATTATCTAAATTGAGTATGTAAAAGTATCAGGTCAGTCCATAAGTTCATGCGTATTTTATGACCTTGAGAAAAATCTTGTTTTGCTGTTAAAAATGCCAGTCTAATGTGATACTTTTTACACTGAAGTGTTAAATTGGATCTCATTCATATAATACTGTTCAGAATTGGGAACATTTCAGTTGTTTATTTTCGTTAAAATGGAAGTAACAGATGAATATAAGAGACATGTTTTATACTTTTTATTTTTAAGTGATGAGAATGCTACAAATGCAGCCAAAAAATTAAATACTGTTCATAATCAAACTGTAATTAGTGTAAGGACTGCGCAGAAGTGGTTTGAAAGATTTAGAAATAATGATTTTAGTGTGGAGGATAAGGCTCGTACTGGAAGACCCGTTGACTTTGATGATGATGCTCTCTCTGCACTAGTTGAAGCAGAACCATCTTTAACAGTTGATGAAATTGCGGAACGTTTAAATTCATCCCATGGAACTGTTCATAGACATCTACAACAAATCGGAAAAGTTTCAAAGCTAGGAAAATGGATACCACATGAACTGTCAATAGCTAACTGACAACAACGTCAACTGCTCAACTCCAAAGCTTCAACTGGGAAATTTTACCTCATCCACCATATTTGCCAGATATTGCTCCCAGTGATTATCATCTTTTTCGGAGTTTGCAGAATTTTTTAAAAGGAAAAACTTTTGAGGATGAGAACAATGTAAAAAAGGCTATTTCTGAATATTTTGATTCAAAACCGAAATCATTTTACAAAGACGGGATTAAAAAGCTACCATCAAGATGGCAAGAAATTGTACAAAATAATGGTGAATACATTATAGATTGAAATAAAATTTAGTTAAAATTTTTTGTTGCTTTTTTTCTAGATAAAAATGCGCACGAACTTATGGACTGACCTGATAATATAGTTTATAACATTTTAGAAACAAAAATCCTTAACACAATTGTACAATAAAATACAATAATATATTGTAGTCATCAGATGAATGTTAACTTAAATTTACTTATATTTTATTGAAACTAACTGATAGAATATTAGTCTATCTGCCAGAATTATAGTTAATGTTGATCTATTACATATATCAGACTAAAAGAAAAACCTTAACCTTCACTTAAAGGAAACCCAGTTAAGAAGTCACTAAAATGCAGGTTTCTGTTGGGATGCCAAAAATTGGTGATACTAACTGATAGTTGTTGCTAGAGAGAGTATTGTATATAGTTTTATTTTATTTTCATTTTGATAACAAAATTCAAACATATTTATTTGTTTCCAAAGACATACAAAATGAAACTTTAGAATTAGAAAATTAGATTGTAGTTTACTTTGATATGTATATACTAGCAGATGAGCCCGGTGTTGCTCGGGCAAAAAGTAATGAGAGCAAAGATCAAGATTATTACATTATAGCTGATCTTACCCGTTTTCAATGGATGCAGGAATTAGGCCCCCTCTTCCGAGACTAATTAGAGAATTTTTAGATATCTGCTTACCACACCGGGATGATAATAATTAACCCTTAACTGGTTTTATGGGGGCCGCGCGGCCTCCACGCGTCATATTTTTACGATTTTCTAAAAATCTAAGTATCGTGCGCAGCTGCCATTTTATGTAATCTCATTACGTCGCGACTCTTAGAGAGCGCCAAATGTTCGGCCCTGTAGCACTTACAAGGATGGAGCTACGTACCTTCTGGGGGCCGCACAGCCCCCACGATACCAGTTACGTTGGATTTTTGTGGAAATGTGTTTTTATGTTTTTTTCATTTTTACAATTATTTTGCAAAGATATCTCAATCTTGCATCAAAAATTCAAAATGACTATCAAAGAATCATTTGAACTGCTAATAGATGATAATATTATACAAATTGCTAGATCAAGCCG